AGAGTGGACTTCATCAAGTTGACTTGTTCTGCTCCCCACTGTGTCTCTGGTGGATCCTCTCACCGCCCCTGCACCTCTGGCCTGTATGCCAGTACTGTATGCATAAATAAATAAATCTATAAAAAAATGAATAGTAGAAGATAAAAAGAAATGGAAAGGTATCCCTTGTTTATTGATTGGAGGAATTAACACTATCAAAATGGCCATTCTATGAAAACAATTTACATATTCCATGCTATTCTGATAACAATTTCAATTTCTTCAAAGAAAAATGGACAAGTATGATAAAATTCACATGGAACCAAAAATCTCTGATAGCCAAAGTGCTCCTGACTAAAAAGAAGGTGAATGGAGGTACCATACTCTCTGATTTCAAAGCATAATACAAAGCAAAATAATGAAACACTATGGTGCTAGAACAAACAGACAGACCAAGGAAATAAAATAAAAACCCTAGGAATAAAGTCATATGTTTACGGATAACTAACCTTTGATGAAGGTGCAAAGAATTTTTTTTTTAAAGATTTATTTGTGCATACAGACCTGGGGTACAGGCCAGAGGCTTAGGGGCGGTGAGAGCCTTCACCAGAGACACAGTGGGGAGCAGAACAAGCAGATCCACGAAGCACACTGCTGAGGGGAGCAGTGGGCGGGTCAGGAGAGGTCTGCCACGCCATATGGTCACCTCCGGGGAAGGCGGGAATCAAACTCATGCGGAAGTGGTGTTAGCTTCTCAGTGCTTTAATCCGCTGCGCCACCAGGGAGGGCCCGCAAAGAATATTTTTTATGCACACAGATACATGCACAGATCAGCAGTAAAGAAAAAGTCATCTTGCTATTGCTCCACTTTAACGGCGTTCTGCTGAGTGAAATGAGTCATATAGAGAAAGACAAAATGCTGGGTGGCCTTCTGTGTATGTGGCATCTGAAACCACTGAACTCAGAGACAAAGAGTAGAATGGTGGTTGCTCAGCTGAAGGGTGGCAGAAAAGGGGAGATGTTGGTCAAAGGGTGTGAATTTGCAGCTGTATAGTGAATAAACACTGGATGAAATATACAGCCATTGCAACTATAGGTAACATGTTTAATTTACTTAAAAGTTCCTCTGAGAGTAAAAAAAATGATGTTTTTACTTTAACAATAACAACACAAATTCAAAAATATTATGTAAATGGAGGGAATTCTACTAACGTGGAGTAAACATTTATGTTTGTTTGCAATATACACTCATCCTAAATCATCACAAATCACCTTAAATTTATACACTGTTACATGTCAATTATACCTCAATAAAGCTAAAATATTAAAGTAAAGCTAAAAGGAAAAAAAAGTAAAAGTAGTGGTCAGAACATGAAGTGGAACTTGTCAGTGTGGTCGTGACTTTTTAAAGATACAATCAATCAAACCAATCTAGAGGATGAGTAGGATTAGATGGGATTGAAATAACAGCGACTTACTGAAGGGAGGGTAACAATGCAGAGAGAGGCAGGAATAGCAAGCGCACGTGGGCAAAGACAAAGTTGTTGATTGACCAGGTATATATGCTGGATCTCGACAAAAGCAGAGGCATGAGAGACCTGAGGACTGAGGTAACTTTCCAGATGCCTACTGAGGAAGGAACTGAGAGCCGAGAGGAGAGAAGCATAATTTATGTAGATACTGGAAATTAAGAATTATGAGTGTGGCATCCTTGGAGAGGATGATTAAGAATTAGGAACAAACATCTTCAAGAAATAAAGGTGGTAAACAGGGCGATGGCAGCAACAAGGAGGGTTGTGGGCAAAAGGTGGATGGCATGAACCAGAGCTACACTGAAACCTGGATTGAAGACTGAGAATGTCCCCATCACCTCACATATATAGGGTGGTTTTCAGTGATGCCCAGAGTCACTGAGGTCAGTGGCCAGAGTAATGGCGCTCAGAGGATGTGGTTCTAAATCAGGTAAAAATGAGAGTAAGGCCCTCTCTGGCGGGCAGTGGGTTAAAGCGCAGCACTGCCAGATAGAGGCAGCCGCTTCAATGCCGGTTTGATCCCTGCCCCCAGCGGTGACCACATGGCATGGCAGACCTCTCCTGACCCCCCCGCTGCTCCCCTCAGCAGTGTACTTCATAACTCTGCCTGTTCTTTTCCCCATACTGTCTCTGGTGAATCCTCTCACCCTCTGCTCCTCAGTTCTGTAAGCACAAATTAATCTTAAAAAAAAAAATTAGAGTAGAAAAGACATTGGGAACCATGGTATCTCTGCTCTCCACATATTGCCAGGGATACCCGCCCCCCAAAGAACTTTCCTCCATAATTTTCCCTTCCTCACCTTGGGGACTGCTCTCTGGACACCTCCATACCAATTACTGGCTACGGGAGTGGGACACAGTTTCCACAGCGATCCATCCCCTGGAGTCAAGTCAGTCAATTCCCCTGTGTCCTCTTTTGAGAGCCTGTCGATGTCCTCCCTCCTCCCCTGTGCCCTTCAGAACCTGGAGGCATTTCTGCCACCTCCACCAGCCCATGCTGCTTTGCTGCATTAAAAAGGCTCCTGTCCTTGACTTGTCTGTCTCCTGTTATGGGGTTCTTCAAGAAAGATCTTGTCACTTCTGCCTGAGCACTGAGGCTTCCAGGGCAGAGGTGAATTCTATACTGTAGACATTCTATTCATTCCTCTGGTGACAAGCCAGACGTTCCCACCCACTTTCTTACTAAGGCACTGGACTCTGCTCTAAGCTGTCTGTTTCAGAAGTCAGCAGTCATGTGGTGAGTTTTTCTTTCATCCTGCCATCTGCCCTTTCATCCTCAGAGGACCCAGAACAGAAATAAGAGACCAACTTCAAATTTGGAAAGTGAAGGCCTAAATGCTAGTGCCAGAGAGCAAGACATGAGGGTAAGTCTTGCAGATGAAGCATGTTCTAGAATACCAAATGAAGTCAGGATGAACTTTTTTTTTTGAAAACAAATTTGCCCTTTGGATGGTAGAGAGAAATCATGGTGAGTAGGTAGTGTGAGTTCACATCTGCTTGAGCTCTGTGTTGGGAATGTGCATACATGTACCAAGGATATTGTCTGTGCAAGTTGTTACTGTGTACCTGTTTTCAGAATTTGGCATATTTGGAGGGAAGTGGTGGATGATTGCCTGGCTGAACAGGTATGTGTCTACATCATCAGAGAATTAGAAAATCTGACTTAATGGCTTCACATCTGTAGCACTGTTGAGTCATAGGCCTAGATTCATCTCCAGTACTTAGCTCATCTCCATGATGACTGTCACAATATAAAATTAAATAAAACATATACTGTTATTCTCTAAGCCCTTTGCACACTAGAATCTGGTTTATTAAATAAACAAGCACATAAACAAAAACACCCCAAGGATCTCAGGGCTAGTCATCTGGGCGTTGAAGTCCTGATCAACATTCACAAACTCTAAGACTGCAGCAAGTACAGAACCTCACTTCTCTTATTCTGTAAATTAGTAGTATTATCCAGTTTTCCAGTGAGTAAAGATCAGTCCGTGCCAGGGTACATAAACTTACATAGCAGTGTGGTCTACCCAGTGTAGGACAGGGAGGAAAATGGTGCCTCTTACTGAAGACCTACTATGAGCTCCCCAGAAATGGCACTATTCAAGGACCCTTGTGTTTTGAAGCCAACTTGCCATTTCTGCTTCCATTTGAAGAATCCTGGCCACAGAGCAGTAAGCTTGGGTCCCAGGCGGTTACTCAGGATATTGCAGGGTCCAACATGTATCAGTCCACATCCAAGACCAGGTGTCCAGCACCCGCCAGCTTAAACCAACTCACAGTCGCAAAACTCCCAGGGAGACAGGTTACAAAATGGAACCCAAATGCTGCTTTGCACAGGGCCTTCTCCCTTCCAGCCCATGCTTCTCTTAACTGTTCATTTCAGTCAATACCTCTTTCTGTTCTCCATAATATTCTGTATGATGATGCCTGTTGGGAAACACAGGTTGGAAAGATCTCTGTGTACCTTGTGAATCCATCATATCAATCATTATGACTTTTGTACCATTTGGGAATCAGTCAGTCATTTTCAAGGGCTAACGGCTTCTATGTCCCTTTTACACTGGTTTGAAAAATATTGAAATTAGAGCTGTGGGAGAATACAGGAAGCTTAGATGTCATTTAGTTCCAACTTTTCCTTTAACACGTCAAAAACTTGAAGCAGTGACTGCCAATATCAAACCTTGGACCAAAGGCAGTTAAGCCAGGTGGAGTCAAGATCCCTGACTTTTACTTTGTTTTCTTCTACCCTGATAACTGTTGATGTAAAGGCTGGTCCACCTGAGCTATCAGTGTGGACTATGGTCATCACCCTGGGCCATAAGCAGGAGGAGAATGGACATGGCGAGCAGCCTGTGAGATTCACTCCAGGTGAGAGTTCAGTGGTCAGCAAAGTGAAAGGTTGTTTTACCAGGAGCAGAGCACCTGGAACGGAAAGGACATGCCGAGAGTGGGGAACAGCAAGCCTGGGGTGTCTGTCACCCTATTTCTAGCAGTGCACATTTTCCAAGCTGGAAGGAGACCCAGAGTGAAGTCTGGCTTGCAACCAGCAGAAGAGTGGATCCTGAAATTGTGGAGTGTAGACTCAGTAGAGTACCACATGGCAGTGAAATGAAATGAGACTTTGGGGACAAAATAACTTCAAAGTGATTATGTTACGTGAAATAAGTGAAAGAAGTGACAGATAACTGATGGTTTCACTCATGTGGAGAATAAATAACAAAAAGAAATACACAGAAAAATAAGCAGGTATAAATGTCAGGCTCGGTGAATGAATTTAAAGGTCATGGGAGGAGTGAGGGGGGAGGAGGTAAGGGGTTACAGGGGTTTGTTGAGGTGAGTGGAACATGTACAAATATGGGGGAACAAAATGTACAGATTAAGAATAAGTTAAGATAAAAAACAGATCTGAAAGTGTTAGTGTTTAGGAGGAAATCAGATTCTTCTTTAGTCATAGGGCCCCAACCATAACCAGACAAGAAGCTGACAAGCAGGGGTTTGGGAACCAGACCCCACAGAGCACAGCTCAGAAGTGTGGGGTCATAGGGTCAGCCCCGGATTCCACCAACACAGCCTAGGGTGCTCCCCTTCTCCTTCCCTGCTGGCCCCTTTGTTTCTAAGGGCTTCCTTTGTTTCTAAGGCACAGACTCCCCTTGGCACATTTCAAGCTTCTAAACATCTGGCAGCTTCCCTCCTCCAGGCCAACCACAGCGCAGGGGAGCGCTTTGTGCTGCTGGGCTTCCTGGACTGGCCCTGGCTGCAGCCCGTGCTCTTCTCGTCGGTGCTTTTCTGCTACCTCCTGACGCTCGCAGGCAACGCTGCGCTGGTGCTGCTGGCTGTGCGCGACCCGCGCCTGCACACGCCCATGTACTACTTCCTGTGCCACCTGGCCCTGGTGGACGTTGGCTTCACCTCGAGCGTGGTGCCACCGCTGCTGGTCACCCTGCGCGGCCGAGCGCTGTGGCTGCAGCGCGGCGGCTGCATGGCCCAGCTGTACACGTCGCTGGCGCTGGGCTCGGCCGAGTGCGTCCTCCTGGCGGTGATGGCGCTGGACCGCGCGGCCGCCGTGTGCCGCCCCCTGCGCTACGCGGGGCTGGCGGCGCCCAGACTGTGCCGCGCGCTGGCGGCCGCCTCCTGGCTGGGCGGCCTCACCAACTCGGCCGCGCAAACTGCGCTGCTGGCCGCGCGGCCGCTGTGCCCACCCTACCGCCTGGACCACTTCATCTGCGAGCTGCCCGCGCTGCTCCAGCTGGCCTGCGGTGGCGGCCGCGATGCCACGGAGCGGCAGATGTTCGCTGCCCGCGTGGTCATCCTGCTGGTGCCGTCCACCGTGATCCTGGCCTCCTATGGGGCGGTGGCGCGCGCCGTGTGGGGCATGCGCGCCAGCGGGGGCCGCAGGAAAGCCTTGGGCACCTGCGGGTCGCACCTGACCGCGGTCTGCCTGTTCTATGGCTCAGCCATCTACACCTACCTGCAGCCTGCGCACAGCTACAGCCAGGGACGGGGCAAGTTTGTTTCCCTCTTCTACACTGTGGTCACACCGGCCCTCAACCCACTCATCTACACCCTCAGGAATAAGGAAGTGAAGGGCGCAGCCAGGAGACTCCTGGCGCGAGGGCAGGCTGGACAGTGAGTTCAGCTGGCGGGAGAGTGTTAGCCCAGCCGGAGGACGGAGCTGCCCCTTGGCAGGTCTGTCCCCTTAGCCTCAGCCTGTTGACCCTTTATGAGAATCGCCAAGACCTGTCCTCGCGGAGTCCAAAGCTAACGGGAGGTCCCTTTCCCATCAGGAAAAATGTTCCTGTGCTTGAGGACAATCCCTGTGTCCTCCACAGATGTCAGCTTAGGGAGGGGCATGGCCCTCCAGCTTTCTTCTAAAATGGGAAGAGGAAGTATGATTTAATGCAGCAAGGAGGACCTCTCAGTGTGGGTGTTGCTGGGTGGGTTACCTTGAGAAAGTCTTCTGTGGGGGAGGGTCTTGAGCAAGTTTTAAAGAAGAGAAGGAATTCGTGTAGTGGAGAAGCAGGCGGATGTATGTCGTGTTGTAAGAAATGAGAGAGCAGCAGTGAGACTGAGGAGTAAATGAAGGGAGTGAAGTGGGACAGGACTTGAGTTCCGGAAAAGGGAGCAGAGAGCTGAGAGGAGGGAAGCAGAGAGAAGCACTGTCACCAGAACTTAGGCAGTGTAGGGTTTGTCAGAAACCAGCTCTCTGAGGTAGTTGCCCCCAGCGTAGAGAGGACCGCCCAGACCTAGGACATGCAAACAGCCACAGCTCCACCACCCACTGCCTTTCAGAAAATCAGTTCCTTGTAAAAGATAATCAGCTCCTAAGGAACCTCCACAGGAAACAGAAAATCTCTAGGTGTTCAGGCAAGTGTATTTCCATGCCCACTGTCATCACTGGAAATAGGGCAGTTTTTACTGGGTGTGGGACACAGCAGGAGGGAGCACAGTGCCAGGTTTCATTTGGTCCTAAATGGTTTTGAATAAGGAAAGATGTAATTTAATTGAATTTCCAAGTTCTTTATTAGATGATGATCATGTTGGGTTATTATTTTTTTCCATATATTTCACTGTTCTCTCTAAGTAAAATTCAATCTGCCTCAACAATTATTGCAAAAAGTGATAGATGAATTTCTGGGTCAAACATAGAAACAAAGAAATTAACATAACATGAATTTGTTGAGTGGGCAAGGAATTACTAGATTTTTGACAAATTTTCCAAGTGACATTGAATTGCAAGCTGGCCTGGAATGCTTTCTCCAGTGTGTCTTAAAACTTCTTTTATATTCTCAGTAAAACATTATGTACAACATTGCTACTTAATTAATTATGTTAGACTCCAAGCATCATAGATTTAGCTGCATTTTCTTCCCTATTGCATGCAAAATCACTTCCCCATATATTTCTTTCTCCTTAATTTTGAAAGATCTATGTAAGATTCTTTCCAAATATCACTGCTTCCCGAGGGTGGTCAACCCCCTTTATATTTGGGGATTACGTAGAGAGTATCGCCCCCTTTGATGCCATGCTCTCCCATGGTCTTCCCATCTTCTATTCTCTTCCCCTTGTAGATCACAAACTTTTCGTTGAGGTTTACAGCAGTGTTACTCTCAATCTTCCCTTTCACCTGAGCCCCGGAGTTGGACCTTGACACCTGGATGTGGTGCTTCAGCCCCCCCTCACCAGGCTCCATCACAGTCAAGTCCAGCTCCTCATCATTGGGCTTCACTACTTGCAGAGTGAGGTAAATAGTTGTCTCCTTGTCAATACCATACGATGATAGTGTTTTCTGGGGCTCTAGGGTCTTTGAGTCAAACAGAAGGACCTGGTTGCACACAGGAACTTTGGTCTGAGATTGGACATGTTCATTGATCTTGTTCACTCTGTCACCAAAGTTGGCAGTGAAGGGCATTACCTTCCATTCTGGTGGCTGGATATGCACCTGGATAACAAAGCACAGGGACAGTTTCTGAGAATGCTTGTCTCCCTTTTACATCCTTAATTACTTTTCCTTATCAGTTGCTCCCACCCTTCACTGGCTGTCTGAGCCTCCAGCATCTTTACATGGAATGGTGTCCCTATTTTTTCTGGAACATGTCTTTTGGAAATTCCAGTTTTTTTTTTTTAAAGATTTTATTTATTTATGCATACAGAACTGGGGTACAGGCCAGAGGCTCAGGGGCGGTGAGAGGCTGCACCAGAGACAGAGTGGGGAACAGAACAGGCAGATCGACGAAGTACACTGCTGAGGGGAGCAGCAGGCGGATCAGGAGAGGTCTGCCACGCCATGTGGTCACCTCCGGGGCAGGTGGGAATCGAACTCATGCGGAAGTGGCTTTAGCTTCTCAGTGTTGTGCTTTAACCCACTGCGCCACCAGGGAGGGCCAGAAATTCCAGTTTTTTTTAACACAAACAAGGAAATCAGTCTTATTCTTCTGTACTCACATCTCTTGTCCATCCCAAAATGTCATTAATCATGTCCTGCCTTTATTTCTTTAATCAGAGCCCTCCCCCAACCCCCCGGAGATGATGTGTCAAATGAAATGTCCAAAGCAAAGCAACAACACAGCATCCAAATATGTACACAGACTCTACAGAAAACACCCCATAAGAATTTCTGAGTCTTGGCAGCCTGTTGGGGCCCTCACAGGGCCGCTCTCCATCATTACCTCAGAGGGACAGTTAGGACCCATGGCTCTGTACTGTTGGTTTCATTTTATAATGTCTCATTGTTTCATTACAGTCACCCACATGTTATAACGACTGTATGTTCAGTGTCACTTGCTCATCTATGTCCCATGTTCTCACGTCTACCTAACATAGAATATTATCTTCTTTACTTAGACCGGGCTCCACTCACAGAGGACAAGGCCTATGTCTGACTCCTGCTTCAATAACCTGAAAATGGGAAGCTCACCCCTGTTTTGTTACTGGAAAGACTTGCTCCATTCAAAAAAATTTTCCTAATCAATAATTCTATTTTCATTACTCCCATTTTTAGGTTTGGGAAGCTCCAGGTGCTTGTTAGTTTCAAGTCAGAGAAGTGTGTCAAAAAAGACCTTACCGGAAGGACATTAATGGTTTCATTAGAATTTAGACCAACTCTAAATAAGAGAAAATTAAGTCCTTCCTTTCCTTTGTCATTGGGGTGACACAGCCTTTATTTTAGACTAAAAGGGGGTGTCTTGCTTAAGTAAAAATGACACTGAGTATAGAATTGTGTGATGAGTTTATAGATAAAGCTATATTCCTGTCACATTGTGACATTACTTCTACTTTATTATAACAAAGGTTGTTATTTAAATAGTGATCAAAATGGCACATTTCAAAATGTGCTTATAATTAACCTTTCATGCTCTTATGGGAATATTCCTAATCTAGATGCCACAGAAACTTCACGGACGGTCACTCGTGGGGAAGCATTGCCCTCAGTCGGGTCTCCTTGGGTGCCTGCTGTCTAGAGCAGGGAGGCATCGGGTCAGTACTACTTAGGATAGGTGAGCCTTGTGACTTTCTCTATGGGGAGGAGAGGGAAGCATAAAGTCCTGAAACTCTAAACAGGATAAGGTGAAAGGGGCCCATGATCATAGTTTCATGTTTTCTAATCCTGACAGAAACTTGGGGTAGAGCTCACCCCACCTTGTCATTCATTGTTAACTGTGGCCAGTCTGAGGTCTGACATGAAAGAGAGCTCCAGCTAACGTCCCTGGGCAGACACTTCCCTGAGGATTGTGTAGGTATCTGTGCCCCTCTCAGCCCCCTCAAGGTCTCTTCCCAGCCACCGGCCTCCCTGGGCATGGCCCCCATCCATTCTCACCATCTCTCCCCAGCCCTGGAGGGGCTTCCCTGTTCCCACACCTGTATCATCCCACTTACCAAGAGGCTGGAGGAGTTGGGAGGCATCTTTTCGCTGGGTAGTGGAAGCAGGAGAGAGAGGCAAGGCCCTTGCACCTGTTTATATATAGCGGCTCTGCTGGAATTCCCCACTACGTAGCTGTTTTTGCTGCTCTTTGGTCTCTGTTGCCATTGTTCTCTTTCACTTTTGCTTTGTGGAGGGAATAGACAAAATGGCTTTGCAAAAATCACTCTTCCCTCAACAATCCATCTGCCCTCCTTTTTTCAAAAAAAAAAAAAAGGATCCTTCCTTTTGAGAATTTCCCCATGATTAACACCCTTCCCCTTCCCCAGTCCTGACTAATGACTATCCAGTGTTCAGCTCTGTGGTCCTTTCCTGCTGTTAGTCAAGGGTCTTCCTTGAGAGTGAGGGAGCTGGGAGTGAATGAGATTCGACTGACCTTGAGCTGCCTATTCCTACTGGCCTGCCAGGACGTAGGCAGTGCACCTGGGGAGGAGGGGGGGTAAAAAGCTAAGGCCCATTCGCAAGGGTGCCCCTGCTACGTTACCTTGGGCAAGTGCTCACCTTCTGTGATGTTGGTTTTCTGGTTTATACAATGGGATGATTGCAAAAAAGTTCCTAAGTGTTTTCTGGGCTCAGAAACTTAATCTATGAAATGTCTTTTATGAAGAACTCCTGGTCTTGCATCTCTAATCCACATCTTACCTATCCCCAAACCTGCAATCCCTGGCCGCTATTTGAGAATATTTCAAATGCTGTAATCAAAGACGGACTCCTGTCTTCCCACACCTGAACAGCTGCATCCAGTGTCACACCACGGTGCCTCTGTTTCCCCCCTGATTCCTGGGCATGCCACTGTGATCTCAGAAATGGCTAAGGTGCTGCTCTTTTGGGATTTGGCTGGGGACAGGTGGGCATGCCTAATGCCTTCAGGGAATTGACTCAATTATTTTGATCTTTCTAATTTTCCAAACGAATCACTACCCTTTCCCAAGATCTCAGGATACTACTCCTGAGAGTTTAAAAAAAAAATTAAAATGTAAAAAAATTAAAAAATTATGGAGTGCTCCAATGTTTTTGAAATTGAAAAATCTATAAAAATGGTCATTTACGGCCCTCCCTGGTGGCGCAGCGGGTTAAAGCACAGCACTGAGAATCTAAAGCCGCTTCCGCATGAGTTCGATTCCCGCCTGCCCCGGAGGTGACCACATGGCGTGGCAGGCCTCTCCTGACCCGCCCACTGCTCTCTCAGCAGAGAAATTTGAACATCAGTCTGTTCTGCTTCCCGCTCTTTCTCTGGTGACTCCTCTCACCCTCTGCATCTCTGGCCTGGCCCCCAGTTCTGTATGCACAAATAAATAAATCTTAAAAAAAAAATGGTAATTTACTGTGACCATTCAAGAATTTCCATCCTGTGAAACCTAAATTTATAGAAGCCTATACACAGTCATGAGATCTGAGAGTTCAAGGTAGTATTAAAACAAAACAAAACAAAACAGAATAATACTTGACACAAATCATGTTCTTACATTAAACTCATTTTAGCTAGTTAATAAAATTGGAAAAAGTGGTTATTATTTCAATTTCTGTAGTGGAGTAGACATATTTTAAACACCTAGTTAATATGAGGTAGAAGAGTGCATGGTGGGATAGATTGCAAAGCTTGCCCACTGCTGTTCTCTTTACAAATATGTCCCCAGATTTCTATTCTCCCCCTATATCTTGAATCGAAGAAACAGTTGGTTGCTGCAGAGCAGGGCCTCCTTACACCCCCACCCCCAACAGGATCTGGGGACTCTGAATCATCACCAGTGACCAGGCAGAACATGTAAAGAAAAGTTGTGGGTGATGGGGAACAAGAAGGCCTGCAGCGGCAGAGAAGGTATTAGGCCTGGAAAAAGAAAAAAGAAAATACTGTAAAACCCAGCCTCGAGGACCCTGCTCACATTTACAGATTTGATTTGCACCATCTTAGGCATATCATTTCTCAAAAAGAAAGGAGAGCAGACATTTCAAGTGGTTGAAATCACTCTCACATCACTACTTCCTGCATTGTTCGGAGTGTACCTTGGTGCAGTCACTGTGGACAACAATATGGAGTTTTCTCAAAAAGCTGAAAATAGAACCATCATGTGATCCAGCACTTCTAACTCTGGGTATTTATCTTTTTTTTTGCAGGAATTGTGGTGGGGAGAAGATCAGGGTGAGGCCTGAGGTAGGGGTGAAAGGATTCACCAGAGACTGAGTGGAGAACAGAAAGGGGCATTGACTGAAATGAACTGTTCAGAGAAGCATGGGCTAGAAGGGAGAAGGCCGTGTGCAAAGAAACATCTGGGCTCCATTTGGAACCTGTCATCTTGGGCTTTTGTGACTGGGAGTTGGTTTAGGCTGGTGAGTGCCTGGATGCCTGATCTTGGATGTTGATACAGGATGAGTCCTGGCTCTGTTTCCACATTCAGACTCTGGCCTGGCTCCATGGGAACCTTATCAATTCCCTTTCATGTATTCAAGCCTCCCCAATGTTCCGGCTAGGCAAGGGTGGAGACTTAGATTTTAACCTCACTACATGATACCCTGGCAGGAGTGGCGCCCTTTTGCAGGGATGGTGCACTCTGAGAAGGAGTAAAGGCAGATGCAGGAAAGCGGAGGCTGCAATGCGGGGCCTCGGGAGCAAGGGAGATTGACAGAATCATCCCTCTGCCAGGCCCTGCCTGAGCCACCCTGCACTTCCCATCAGGCAGAGTGACAGGAGCCTGGGTGCAGGACTCAGAGCCTGGAGGAACCCAGGGCCAAGCCTGGTGTAAGGCACAGACACTGCTCTCCCAGGCCTGTGATAAAGGGCACTGTCCAGGCAACAGGCCACGTGGCAGTGGGGGGACCATCCAGTCTACTGGGGATTCACAGCAAAGTCAAGGGCAAACCTGGAATCCTCACAGGAAAACTATTAATGTATCACTAAAGGATCTCTGCTCCGTGACAGAGCAGAGAGCATCTGGTTTCTGAGAAACAGTGTCCTTTCAAGGAATCTAAACAAGCAAATCTGGACTTTCATCCTTGTGTTTTCCTTCCTCGCTTTCTATGTCAAGGTCCTAAGCAGGCCAAGTGGGGTGTGGCTGTCAGACTGTCAGACTCTCTGCTGCCCTGTGTGGCCACTGGTGGGATTTCTTCAG